CGATACTTTAGTTCTGATTGTAGCAAGGCTGTAACTGTTCGGCGTTTGGAAGGGACATACGTGTTCCCTGATTTCTCCAACACCAAACATTGATCACACTAAATGGGATAGTGAAGTGAACCAAGTTGATTTGATAATAGAACATTTATATAAAGCTTGTCCAAGTTATAAGCTTGATTGAGGCCTAAACTTTGCTATGAGGAACTTAGTCCCGCGATTAACCCATCTTAGGCCCAACCCCTCGCTGTTGTTGCCGGCCGGTCGGAAAGTAGTTCAGACGGATTCAGAGCCATATTGAGTTTCCAGCAGCACACTCAATCTTTCGAATGAGACAGCTTTCTCTGTCACACACATACACAAAGAAAGACACACAACTTTGACGCAAATGCCACTAGTTTTTGATTAGGATACAAAGTGTCGGCTACTCGAATCACTCTATACACATGGAGCCAACCCCCCTTATCCCCTTTCCACCGTTCCGCGAGCCAAGGTGATACTATGATTCCGATTCCCCTTCCCCACGTTGTGCGTTTGATTTCATGGAAAACAGAAGAAAAGAAGAAGCAAAAACCTTCCTTCCTGTTGTGCCAATGTGGCACAAACCACTTCCATGTCGACACGCCCTCCGTAAAACTGAGAAAAAGAACAGTCGCCCTTCCTGGCGATCATCTACCGAGTTTTGTCAACTCTCCTCCGAAAACTTTCTAATAACACAAGGGCCAGAACGCCAAGAGTCACAGGGTTGTTGGTCGAATCGAGAGGTTTCTCTCATGCAACTGCTTCCTCATGTACCCATCCATCCATCATCAATCAGACCACCACTTTTGCGTCGCTCAGTACAGCGAAACCCGCTGTCCCGAGTCGCAGGCGAGATTTGTAGAAAAAAAAAAAGGTCCCTGTCTCCCACACCAACTCCGAAAGGACATCGCTTCCCTGGCTATTCAGACACCGTAGAGTAAATGGAAATCGGCATTTTGTTGACGCAATGTACACCACGGCCGACTGAGCCGCAGATCGTAGGCATCATTTTTTTGCCGAGCCGGGCCGCGGTGAAAGTTGCACAGGTTGAGGCGGAGGCTTGGCAGATTGCGTCGTCTTCTGACCACCGTTCCGTGCTGCGACCTCTGCCAAAAGTCCGCTGGACACTGGAATAGGCCTCCGCGGATACAATTCCTGTGGCGGTAGGTAAGGATTGTCATATGGCTAGTTTGGCTTCCTGTACGGCTGCTGTTGAGGTATGACCGGAATGGGCACCGGTGTCACTTTGTGCGGGATTGGTGGAGTTCCATTCGGCTTTCCTACACTACCGACAGGGCTCTGCGGCTTCGGGGTACCACCTGCGGCCATGCGCGCTCGCATGTTGGCATTGTAGGGAGATCCTTGACCGTTCTGGTCGTCGGCGGGTACTGGAGTCATGTTGTTTCCTTCATGTGTTCCCTGTATCTTGGTCCCGAAAGCTGCGCTCGTTTGCTGTGCAGCGGCTCTATATCTCGCTTGCTCGGCGTGGAGGCGCTGCTGGTCTGTCCTTGCAACGGCTGTATTGTATCCAGTTAGAGAATTCATAGGTTGTTGAGGGAGGTGGCTACCATTCGGATAATGCTGACGGTTGATCGGAGGGGTGCCAGGCACGTTCTGGTGGGGAGTCGATCCGTAGTACCGTTGCTGCTGTTGGTGTGGAGTTGGCGAATTGTATTGACCAGCCTGTACTTGGGGCGACATGTTCCGCGATTGCATGTTGTTAGCACCATTGGCGTAGTAGCCTGCGTAGCCCTGAGAAGGCGTGCTTGGCTGTTGCGGGAAAGATTGTTGGTAGGGCTGCTGGAAGCGAGCATTGGGCGTGCCGTGTGAAGGCGTGCCTGCGTAACCAGAGTATTGTGGAGGTCGTTGTTGAGATCCATACTGAACACCCTGGTGACCATACGGTGTTTGTGCCTTTCCGACGTGCTGCGCATAGTTGGTGTATCCATTGGTGTTCCGGTAATTGCCCGGCTGACCGGGACGGGGCTGCTGCGCATGAGGCATCTGGTGGGGGGCACCGCCCGGACGAGGAACGGAGCCTTGCTGCGGGGGCATGGCAGGCTGCTGTCCCGACCGGTAATAGCTGGAGGGCGCGATTGAGGGTGTTCGGGTGGGGGTTCCGTATTGCGCCGCCGCGTACTGGTTGCTGTAGGGGGTGGATGCACTAGGGGTTCGGTGAGGGGCAGGCCGGTTCGACGGAGCAGACGCGGCGGCGCTTTGCTGTTGACGCATCCGGGCTTGCGTTGCAGCATCGTCCTCCATCACGCCCTTGTACTGATCTGTGCGGACCTCGAGCTTGGTGCTGATGAGAAGCTCCTCAAGTTGGTCACCATTGAGTTTAGCCACCGCGTAGGGAGGGAGAGTGCCGACAATCAGACTCAGTTGAGCCCTCAGTGCTTCGTACGTCATCGTCTCCTCTTCCGTTGGTGCCGAGACAGCACCGTGAGAAAGCAAGTCGCCATTGACGGGATCGCCTGCGTAACGATTCTGTGATGATGGCAATGTGAGGTTGCGGATGCGCTGATACGACAGCAAGGTCTCAATCATGTCGGTGACTTCATCGAGGAATTCGTCAACCTCCTTGTCGGCGGGGTCCTTATCCTTGGGTTTCGACAGGACCTCGTTCATGTCTTCCAGCGCCGGATCCACCAGCCATTCATCCCACTTCTCAATCGCCTCAGTGACGAACTCCTCGTCCACGTTCTCAGTCTCGGCCTTCTCACCAACGTGGTTCTCAAGCGTGTCATCATCATCGACTTCCTGCAACTCGGATTCGATGAGGCGATTGAAGTTGCGCTGTCCAGTAAGCTGCCAGTACATGCGACCAGCATGGCTGGACGGAATGACGGAGCCGGAATCGTCTCTGACGGGCGCAAAGCTGGAGAATGCGCTGCGAAACAAGGACTCCATTTCGTTAACCTCAATTTCGGTAGATGAGGGTCGGTGACCTGCAAGACTTTGAGCGCGTTCGCGCTGTCTGGTCTTGCTCTTAGACGAAGGTGCCGCGTTGGTGTAGTCCAAGTAGCAACCGACTGCGACCTTTTTGCTAGAGTAAGATTCGTTGTAATACTTGGACTTTTGCGCCGGCTCTGGATGGTAGAAACCAAGGACGTTTCCCTTGACCAGCTGCTTGGGTTGCTTAGGCGGCTGCAGTGGAGGGAGAGGTCTGCTCGAGGAGAAGAGCTCTCCGAGAGTAGCTGATCTTTCGCTCTGGCGAGAAGGAACAATGTAGGTTTTCGATATGCCTAAGGGAAGTTCCATAGACGATGCCTTTGCAGCCAAGCTCTCCTGTCCCGGGGCCTTCTTGGGCAGACTTGAGAACAGTTGCTTGCCATGAGGGCCAGGGCCAACGACCGTTAAGACAGCGTTGCCTGGAGTGAGTTCCGGGGCCGGTTTGATGTTGCTGACGTTCACAGCGGTGCGTGGGTACGATATCTCCCTTCGAAGGAGGTCCATGGCCTTTTGCTGAAACTCCTTGGTCTGCACCACAGCGCCGCCATCAATGACGTCCTTGTCCTTCTCAACCTTGTCCGATTGAAGTTCCTGAAGTTGATCTTTGACGGCTTCGACGACATCGGCCGCGAGTTCGTCGACATGCGAGTACGAGTCGTGGTTGACCTTGTCGGCGATGGTGGCTGGGCTATCGGCGGACTTTTGGCGTTTCGCGTCGGGCTGCTCTGCATCGGTTTCGGGAAGGCGACGCTTCAGAATTGACGGGTTTGCATCGAAGCTTTGGACTGCGTGTCAGTACAATGCGGCCTCGGGGTGACGAAGGGGGAATGGGCGCGCAGCCAAGGGCGCAAAGGGGGGCGCGGCAGTCGTACCTGCTAAGAACAGCGAAATAGTTCTTGATGAGGGGTTTATGATCCTCCTTTGGGGCTTCAGCATCGACTTCCATCTTCTCCGGTCCATCGCCGTTGACCTCGTCGCCCTCATCCTCGGTGTCGCGCTTCCTCTTCACAGGGACGACGGGCTGGGGGGACTCAGCATGGTCCGGTCCAGGGATGCCGTTTGCCTGGACCGAATCCGGCTGCGCCATTGTGAAAATCGTCGTCGTGAATTGTGGTTGTGGCTATCGATGGAAATTATCGCGATGCCAGGGCGTTTCGGGCGGTTCGTTCTGTCGATGTCGCGCGGGACGACGGGGGTGGTAGGTAGCCTAGTGGAGGGCGGGATTGTCGCGACGCGCGAGGTTCGTCGGTCGCTCGTCTTGGTGGAACTCCAAAACCTTTTTTCGTCAAGCGTCGCGAGGCCAGGCGTGTTGGGGAACCTTTTCATCCAAGAACACACTCAAAGACAAGCAACGGTACTCGGAAACTGAATGGGGTCCATCAAAGTCGCCGTTTTTGGATTTTTCTCGCCTTGCAAATGCTCCTGGAGCAATTCCCCTGCGTGACTGTCGGGAGGCTATACTGGAAAATTGGACAGAACCACGGGTCCTTGTTGGTTGCTGGCGAAAAGGCACTGAGCTGAGGTCAGCAGCGATTGGCCTGCCGATCCGAATAAGCGGACCTATTACCCACGTGATGATCTGGCCCGTGCAGAGAGAAGAGTGGACTCCACGTTACGCTCACGCCTTGGTGACTTGATGTTCAGTCGAAGTGCCTTTACGGTTGGTAGGAACGCTCTCATTTCAGAGTTGATGCACAGAGGGTAGCTTGTTGAAGCTTCTTTCTCATATTGCAAACAGTATTATTGATTTTGTTAAACACATGGCCTATGAGATGTCCGCAACATCTTTGCAATGCGGGAATTGTGATTCTATGAACCTCTGCAGCACAGTTCGAGCTCCTCAAAGGTGGGCCTAATTTCACGTAGATAATGCACAATGACACAGATGCTGAAAGACAAATGCTACTATTGGTATTCTCACAATGGTGTCCAGACTAGCTACCTATCGTAGTTACATTACAGCCGCACCCTGGATCTGATTGACCGAGTAATCGACGTATTCTCAAGGAAATGGGGTTATGAGTAGGCGTTTATTTCTTAGCCTTGGCCAGACCAACGGCGTTCTTGCCGAGGTCGTAAACAGAGTACCACCGGCGCAGGAAGGCATCTCCCAAGATGACAAGGGGGCCGACCGGCTCGGGGAAGTCCATGCCCTGGAAGGTGGAGATGCAGCTGCCAGAGACCTCCAGGACATAGTCGTAGGCGGAAATGCTGAAGTTGTAGCCAGAGAGAGTGAAGGTGATGTCGGGAAGCTCGTCACGCTTGGAGCACTCAACAGAGTACTGGCCGTTGTAGCCCTTCTTGGCACCGATCTCCTTGTTGAGCAGCTCAGCAAGAGCAGAGGGAAGGACGTTCAGAGAAGTACCGGTGTCAAGGATGGCACCGTGTCCCTCAAGGTCAGCGGTCTCATCGCCAAGGGTAATGGCATCGAGGTCAACCTCCCAGTAAGCCTTGCGGCGGAGGGGGATGTAAGTGATCTTGCCCTCGTAGTGAGAGTCATCAAGGCCACCAAAGGTAGCCTCGCTCTCATCGCCCTCCTCGTTGGTGTCGCCGAGGTAGAAGGCAAAGACAGGCTCGTCAATAGCCTTCTGGTTAACAAGGTTGTAGAAGGGGGGGACAATCTTGTTGACGGAAATGGTGTCGTAACCAAGACCGAGAATGCCGTCGAAGCGGCCGAAGGCAAAGGCAAGGCCAGGCTCGCTGGTGGCCTCGGCAAAATCCTGCTTCTTGATCTTGAGATCGCCAATGGAGACGTCATCCTGGGAGACGAAACCAGTCAAGCTGCCAGAGCCGTAGTGGATCTCGAACTCGGAGCCGTTGGACTTGTAGGTGGACGACGACGAAGAGTCATACTTGGAGTGCAGGTAGCATGCAATGCTGCCGCACTGCTGGGAAGGAACCCACAGGTTGGAGCTACCAGTGTCCAGAACAACCTTGAAGGTCTGGGGAGGAGTACCGATCTCGATCTCGGAGAAGTCTGAAGTGCGAACGTTAGTTGACTGATGGTAACTAACAACGAGGTGAATGAGACATACACTGAGCGTTCATGAAGTTGCTCACAGGCACGGGGTGCTCGCCAGTGCTTGTGAAGGGCTTCTGGTTGAACATGGCATCGGCATGGCTGTCAGGGCGGGCGCCCATGTACTTCTGGCCGAGCTGTCTGACTTGGTGCTCGATAGGAACAGAGTTCTGAGGATGGCAGCAGTCAGTAAACATTGTTGCGGATATACAGGATGATGGGCCGAACATACAAGCTGCTCCTCGATGGGGACCTTCTTCAGCTTCAGCTTGTGGACTTCGGCCTGGGCCGCGCCCAACAGCACGGCCGCGGTGAGGAGAGTGCTCTTCATCGTGGCTGTCAACCTCGATTACCCAGATTACGATGGTGTTTGGCGCCCTGCGTCTTCGTGCTGGTGATACTGAGGAGATGGCGGTTGAAACGGATGGGGGGGATGATGATGTGTTGACGGGGGGAAGATGCGGAAGCTGGGGCGGCGCCTGTACCTATTAAGTAGGTAAGTACCTTTGCTGTGGCAGGCAGGTGTGGCAGGCTACCCAGACCAGACTTACCTTAGCAACTGCGCCCCCGTGACAACCTGCCCACTCGCCTCCGCAAGGCACGAAGGACCATGACGCAGCACCCGATAGGTGCAGGTATCTTATCTGCCTATCAAAAGCTGGGGTTGGCTGTATTGACCCACATTAGCTGGCTGGGGGAGCAACCATGGAACCTAAGACGGCGCGGAGCTGCCCCAACTCGCCCAAGGCACGCAGCGAGTTAGAAGCCCGAGACAGAGCTCCTGGCAGCTCTCACACACTCGGTGACACTGACACTCACACTGCTCCCGTCTCCGTCTCTCACACTCGCAGGGTGATGCGGCTGCCACTACGGGGCTTGCGTGTCCGATCGCGTGTCCCTGCAGCCTTCTACACTTCGATGCCGCTCAGTTGATCCTGCGCTGGAGAGAGATGCGCTGCAGCATTGCTGAACGCGCCGGAGTGCAAGGTAAGCAACGGGCTAACATTGCGACGGGGACCTTGACATCACGCAACGAGGTGGATTGATGAGATAAGGAAGATAGCTCAGCTCGCCTTCGGTAACCGATTCCCTGACTCTCTCTTACTCGGGTATCCGTGGGCCAAGCTTGGCTTGCTTACCTTATTGCTCCAACATCCGAAGCGTGCCGCGTGCCTGAAAGCCCAGCTGCCTGCATCTGGACGGACGCCTTGGTACCTGAGGCCATTGCATAGATCCTCCGCTAGGCTGTCTCGGAGCTCGGGGCCAATGCTGTCCAGATGAGTCAGCAGTTCCTGGAGGAGAGCGTGACCCATGTTGTTGAGCTAAGGTATCGAGGCCTTCCAGGTTCTCTCGCGCCAAATGCGCTTTGGAGGTGGACTAAACTGCACACAGGTAGTCGCAATTGCCTCAGTGTTGGCCCAGCTCACACTTCGTAACTGCCTCAACTTTAAGCTGGAATATCTTGGTTCACGTCAAAGCCGCATAGAGTTTGATGTGAAAAGTCTTGAATTATCTAGAGTTGCCTTTCAGACACTGGCCAATCACAGGTGCGCTTGAAATGAGCTAGGAGAAATGCAACTGTCTTGACTCTCGCCTTTCGCCGACATCGCAACTGTTCCATCTTGGGGTCTTTGGTCGTTCTCATGTAGTCCAAGTGCATCAAAGTTGCGATGAATGGTTCTCTTTTTGAATGCAGACTTGCCTCGCCCACTACATTGTCCCTAGCACAGGTTTTCTATGATCGAAGCTATAGCTGAGTGCTGAGACGGAATATCGCTGTCTGTTTCAAAAATGACTCTTCCTTCTCGGGTGGTTTTCTCGACGCGATGCCCCCAGCTTCCCCCAATTTGTCGAGAACGAGGTGGCTGGAAACTCACTCACGAAGCACATCACTCAGGAGAAATCGTGCGAATTGCCACTCTTTTCGGAGAAGAGCTATCGGCATGCTGTTGAGTCACAGTTCAATTGCCACAAATGGTCCGCTCGCAATATTGTCCCGGCTCACCCGAAGCCTTCCTGACTGAAGCTCTAGAGTCGGAAGTCGTGAGACGGTTGAGGCGGGCGAGGTACGAACAGCTACACTAAACGGTCCAACCACATCCCCGTCGTCGTGAAATGGGGTCCGTTTCCTCGATGACTCGTGGAACCGTTCCAGAATCGGAGTCGACAAAACCCGCCACAGGCTGTGAGTTCAGGGAAACGTCAGGGAAGCGCCGTTTTAGCGTTCCAACCGGGAACCACTTACAAAGTGGTGAGCCACACCGGGAACCACAGGGAGCCCACCAAAGGCCCAAAATGCTCCAAGCTTGCGGTCGCAAACTGTCGAGCGATCCCAATCTAGCGAACCAAATGCCTCTGAATTGTCCCTGCCATACCTTAGGTACCTTGAGGAAAGGTAAGTATACTAGTACTTCGTACCTACGTAGTATGCCTGTCCATTGTCAAGCCATCAGTCGACTATCGAGGGGCCGCCACAGTTTTTTTTTTCTCCAATTCCACCGCGTACTGCGTACGACTACGAAGTAAGGTACTTACAGCTCGACCCCGCCAATCACACCCCGCCAACCCCCACCGCTTCAGCATTCGATTCACATTTTGCTCCCTCCGATGTTCTGCCAAATTTTCTCAAGCTTTTTTCCCATCCCTTCATAACCTTGCTGGCCTCCCTCTCTTCCTCTTCTTTTCCTACATCTACTTCTCTTCTTGCCATTGCTTGCGAGAATTTCTCTCTTCTCTTCTTCAACTTCACAATTACGATCCTTCGTAACACCACACATCACAATGGCTGCTACTGGTTCCTACTCCCTCCCCGTCTCCCACAAGGAGGTACGTCTACTCTTTATTTGCCCCGCCATGCTTTACAGAGCTGTATACTGACTCATTGATAGATGTTGGAGAAGTCTCTTATTGACTCCGACCCTGAGGTTGCCGAGATCATGAAGGACGAGATCAAGCGCCAGCGCGAGTCCATCATTCTCATTGCCTCCGAGAACGTCACCTCCCGTGCCGTCTTCGATGCTCTTGGATCGCCCATGTCCAACAAGTACTCCGAGGGCCAGCCCGGTGCCAGATACTACGGTGGCAACGAGCACATCGACCAGATCGAGATCCTCTGCCAGAACCGTGCCCTCAAGGCCTTCAACCTCGACTCCTCCAAGTGGGGTGTCAACGTCCAGTGCTTGTCTGGCTCTCCCGCCAACCTCCAGGTCTACCAGGCCATCATGCCCGTCCACGGCCGCCTCATGGGTCTTGACCTCCCCCACGGTGGTCACTTGTCCCACGGCTACCAGACTCCTGCCAAGAAGTACGTTACCTTACCCTTGCCACACTTGAAGAATCATGACTGACTCTCGTTCCCAACAGGATCTCTGCTGTCTCTACCTACTTTGAGACCATGCCCTACCGCGTGAACCTCGACACCGGCATCATTGACTACGACCAGCTCGAGAAGAACGCCCAGCTCTTCCGTCCCAAGGTCCTCGTCGCCGGTACCTCTGCCTACTGCCGTCTGATCGACTACGGACGCATGCGTAAGATCGCCGACTCCGTCGGTGCCTACCTCGTTGTCGACATGGCCCACATCTCCGGTCTCATTGCCGCCGGCGTCATCCCCTCCCCCTTCGAGTACGCCGACATCGTCACCACCACCACCCACAAGTCCCTCCGTGGCCCCCGCGGTGCCATGATCTTCTTCCGCAAGGGCGTCCGCTCCGTCAACGCTAAGGGCCAGGAGACCCTCTACGACCTCGAGAACCCCATCAACTTCTCCGTTTTCCCCGGTCACCAGGGTGGCCCCCACAACCACACCATCACTGCCCTCGCCGTTGCCCTGAAGCAGGCTGCCAGCCCCGACTTCAAGGCCTACCAGCAGAAGGTCATTGACAACGCCAAGGCCCTTGAGAACAAGTTCAAGACCCTCGGTCACAAGCTCGTCGCTGACGGCACCGACTCCCACATGGTCCTCCTCGACCTCCGCCAGTTCAGCTTGGACGGTGCCCGTGTCGAGGCCGTTCTCGAGCAGATCAACATCACCTGCAACAAGAACTCCATTCCCGGCGACAAGAGCGCTCTTACCCCCTGCGGTCTCCGCATCGGCACCCCCGCCATGACCTCCCGTGGATTCGGAGAGGCCGACTTTGAGCGCGTCGCCAACTACATTGATGAGTCCATCAAGATCTGCAAGGAGGTCCAGGCTTCCCTGCCCAAGGAGGCCAACAAGCTCAAGGACTTCAAGGCCACCGTTGCTGGCGGCCAGGTTGCCAAGATCAACGACCTCCGCAAGGAGGTTGCCGAGTGGAGCGGCAGCTTCCCCCTCCCTGTTGAGGGCTGGCGCGTTGACGCTGGCATCTAAATCATGCCAGCGGCTTGTGTGGCGAGAATTGGCCCACGTATGCCAGGGAGCATGACGTGGGAAAAGGAGTGGATCAAGGGAGGAATCGATATATACCACTCTGGGCTTTAATTATGCCCAGTTCAACAAAAATGGTTCAGAAGGGAATAAGCGTGGGGTGACCCCAATCGTCAAAGGGGTCCGGGTTCCGCGCATGACATTTAACATGGCTCATGAACAAAGGGAAAATGTGCTTCACAGACTACTGCTGCATTTTACATAGGCGTTGCAAATATTTCGAGCGGAAAAACAAATACCGGGAAGGGTAGAACAAAAATTCTGGGGGCGGGAGTTGGGGGTGGCGTTCTCAACTGCGGCCATATTTTAGGTAGCTGACTGCTTCAACGCGGTCAATCGCTCAATGCAATCAACACGTTGACAAGCAAGCATATGTGTCTTTTACTTGTGATCTATTGATATTTGAAACGTCGCCGTTGCGCCCTATTTGTGGCGTTGAGACATTCGAAAGTTAGCCTCGAAGCCATCTGTGGCAATATTCCATGTCCAACGTTGGATAACGACGAGGAAGAGTTAATTCGACATTGGCGTTCTTTGATGAAGAAGCCCCGTTGCAAAGCATTGTTCTCGGCTTGGAAGCTATTCCGTTTGTACCTACTTGACAATGGACTTGTCTTTCTTTATACACGACAGCTGCCCATTCAAATTGTCTGAACTTACACAACGAACCTTTCTTCTTGGCACTTGTCCATTCACAACGAGCCTAAGGCCGTCCCACGCAACTGTCTCGAAGACTGGTATACATAACCAACAGTCCTGTCCGAGGTTTCCATCTCATTCTCCTCTCGACAGATCAGACAGCAAACACAAACACCTTACAATAATACACCATCTGCTCGAACACACTTAGACATCAACACATCCATCGTCAAATTTGTAAGTCACCAACCCCGAACTAACGAGTACAGCCCATCATCTCCCGCTCTCATCCACCTAAGCAGAACATCAAATCTTGGTCCCGAAGTCCAGGTAAGCTTCCACCACAAAAATGACTAGACTAACATCCCTCCCCGTCATCCTCCTCGCCCTCGCCAACATCACACCAGGCTTGACATTCTACATCCCTCCTTTCCTAAAGCACCAAAACAGCACAAACGTAACCTACCACATCCCACCTCCCCCTCCATCATCCTCATCTCCATCCTCCCCCTCGGACAGCATCAGCAACATCTCCAACCTCCAAACAACAGATCCCTCCACGCCACCAACAGGCCCCTTCTACTTCCGCGGCAACCGCCGCTACGAGGACGAAATCTGCGGCGCCTCCTCCTTCGTAGGCATAACTCGCGCAACCTCTCCCCTCACAACAGACTGCCTCCTCCTCGCCGACGAGGCAGCAAAAGAGCGCTACGTCTGGTACGTCCGCGGCTTCACCGACAACACCACCATCCTCGGCATCCGCACCCACGGCACCTGCAACTTTGGCATCCGCCCGCCCTACGCGGATGCCCTCCCGAGCATCAAGACGGGGTGGTACGTCGGCGGCGTGGACGTCGCGGAGGTGGTCCGCACCGCTGTGCGAGACTATAATGTGAGTGGACAGACGGGCGCGAGCGGGATGATGCATTGCTGGGCGAATAGGGAGAACCATGTTGATGTTCAGTGGGCTATTTACGGTTCTGGGGAGCAGGGTGAGGCGGGTTACTTTTGGGCGCCGCCTGTGCCGGTGAAGTCGGGTGCTGCTGGGAGGGGAGGGTTCGTGAGCATGGGTGTGATTACAGGTGTGTTGATTTTCTGGTTGTTGTTGTTTTGGTACATTGTGAACTGAGTATGGTAGAAGTATGGTCGTAGGCACTTTGTTTGGTAAGTCGCAAGAGAAATGACCCAAGTTTTCGGTATTATATGGACTTCGTTCAAGGCGTCGTATAATTGGAAGTTCAGCGAGTGTGTCACCAGTAGTGGAAGTTAAGCTTCACTTGAAGTTCGGCTTCCTGCAAGTTCCAGGCAACATCATGATTTCATGTGAAAAGCATCTCTCGCTCACTTTAGGATATGTCCCCTTTGCCTAGCGCTTTCTAGGTCTGACTTTGTGGAAGTGGCTCAGCAGATCGTGTATAAAATGAGAAAGCATATGCTACTCTATGCCAGCTGCTGCCTTCGCGATCCCGCCAATTCTAAGTTTCGTGTCATGTTGCCTCAATCAACTTTCCGAGTCGTCAGTAGCACGGGCTCGTACCCAAACCTTGATGAGTTATCCAGACTGTCGGGATCGTGCACAGCTCGCACACTTGTGCATCTATGAAGAAGATTTTTGGCGTCGTGACTGCAACGTGACTCAGTGGTATTCTGGTCTTGCTTATGGAAAAGAAAGGTGTGATCATAGCTATTCTACAGAAAACGTCGACATCATCGTAACGAAGCTCTGTGCAACCTAAACAACGTAGCATCGAAGCTTGATCTACCGGAGGCGTTCACGCCCATACCTCGGTAGCTATCGAGAAACACAACATGTTGCATTGTTGACGCTCATATTTAGAACCGTGACACCGTGGCGAAGTTCGTAAGGCGAATAGTCACCTCGAAAGGTCTGAAAGACTGCGTGGATATGTGATCTGTTAGGCAGACCCAAGCGAGGCTGAACTTTGATCCGATGTGAACGTCAGATCACCAGCCCTTTGACGAACGTGTTCGTCTTGTAATGGTTTCGAATGAGAGAGATGGAATTTTAGCTATGAGGCAAGGAAACTTTGTGAACCTCAATGGTCGATCTAAGTGAAATTGCTGAGGCAAATGAGGGCACAAGGAGGGGGGGTCGAAACCGAAAACTTCAACTTGCCATGATGCCCACCAATCTGGATTATGTGTCGTTGCCTCGAAGCAAAACAAGCCGTATTCTGGGTTGCAGTACTGGCTGATCTGTGGCTATTTGTATAGCAACATCACACGAGGCTTTGTCAAATGGTTGCAATGGGAACACGGGAACGAGGCGCTTGCATTTTGTAATGAAGCCAAGAGGAGCGGTCTGAAAGTCTCAGTTTCCGTAGCTGTCCCTTTTGGCTAGGGCAGTAGTCAAGTATTGGCGTCGCAAACTAGTTCCGATGGCAGCCGTTGAGAGTTCGTAGGCGCCGTCCTGAGTCAAGACGGCGTCACGAACTCGCGATAATCGGAGGGAGATCCACTTGTCGCTGGTCAGCTGTACGATTCTTCACCGTATCATCGGATGGCTTTGGGAACCATGAGAGGTGATGCGACCAAACCCGTGTTGCTTGAGAGTCGTATCCGACGGAGCAAAGAGTCGTGTGAGGCCTGCTGAGAGCTGGGAAACCAAAAACCAATGTTGCATTGTCGTTGGGCTGTCAAAAAAAAAATGTCAGAGAATAGCAGGCGCTGCGTTGTGTCACAGGAACACACCCATGAAGCAGCCTCTCTCTCGGTTCACCCGCTTTAGAGTGTGTTCAGAACTCGAGTTGCATATGCCAAGATGTCCGGCCAGTGCTGTATGAGTAACTGAAACTAAGAGCACAAGCGGCCGTGTCGGCGCTGCATGATGCATATCTGGTAGTGACGGGATGGATCGAGACAGAGAGACAAAACAGTGGCTTGCGCTAGGCTGAATAGCCGTACCTTAACTCAACGATATTGCGGGTGCTTGAGCTCGAGGACTGTTTCGATACTGCCGCTTCTCTTTGAGTCACCAGACCAGCCTGGTGTGTGCAGCGCATTCGCTCATCGACATAGAGCGAGGGCAATGAGTTCTTCGCCTTAGGTAGGACTCCATGTCTCCTCATTCGCTCTTCATTGGTGGGCCGCTCAGTGGTTCAGCTTCAGCGAAGCCTAGTGAGTCAACATTCTATCATTTTATCACGACTGGCGTTGCAAGTCGTTGCTGCTTACGTAGCCGCTCTTTTTCATCGTCTGCGCCTGCGGCTTCACCGAAATGGAAACAAAAGCGATAGGGTGGCGGCGCCCTCGCCTTCACATTACACTTCAGTGTCTTTTCGGGCGCATTTTTCTCGTGTTGCTTGTTGTTATACGTGGCCTGGACCTAGCGCCCGGCTGATCGCGACCATTTCCATGCGGCAAATCCGGAAGTTGAGCCATCACTCTCACGAGAGCTTCTGGACGACATGACAGAAACAGCACAGACGTGGGCGAATGTCTCTCGCTTTGCTGCGGGCTGCGGGAAGGATGGAGATGAACAGAGACAGGTATGTCAGAGACACAGAACGAGAGCAGCAGAGCAAAAGGGCAAGAGATCAAAAGGAGACGAAATCGGTGGCGCCGGTTGTATGTTTCAAAACGGCAAGTCTCTAGCGGCGTCGCTACCGTCCTCCACGTTCCTTCTTCTCATCGTCCTCCTCCTTCTTCTCCTTCTCCTTCTGTTCCTTGGGTGTGTCGTGGGTGCCATGTACTTGTGAACTTGTGGGTGTGTCTTCAAAGTCGGACGGCGGGTGAGGCGTCGTTGCATCAATAGTGGAGGACCCCGGCCATCTCGCGCCTGCAGATGATGTGCCGTGACGTGACGACCAAGTACACTATCCGTAGCAACTAGCAGGGCCAGGGCACCAATGGATCTTCAAATCCTTCCCCAAACTGCCCAAACTGCCCCTTCGCTGTTGCATTCTGGGGTTAATTTGACCTCCCGAGCTCCTCCTGGCAGGGGGCACTTCACAACAGGTGTTCCATTATCCATCACGGCGCACTTGTCCCAACTAAACACCCCTTTAGCGGAACTTCCATCTGTTCAAGCTTACCATTACCCCCTGAGTCCTCAAATTGGGTCTTGTCAATTCTTTCCTGTCTTCGATCGTCATTTGGGTTCTCCCCGCGTCTGATGTGGCTCGTGATATCTCTTCTCTCTCTTTCCGTTATTCTCTTCTTTTCTCCACTGGCCTGAACCGCGGTTCCTGTGTGACCAACCCGCCCGGCGTGCTACGCTCCATCACCAGGACGTCCACGGCCCATCTGCCTTCTCTGTTATTTAACTTTCGCAGCCTACTTATGGCGCTGCGCCTTCCCAGAGCTTGAGAACGAGGCGCTCGATGCTGCTTGGTCAACTCGACGCGCAATATCATCCGCCTCATCTTGGCTCTCAGCTTTGGATTTCTACGACTAGGTGGCAGGAGTTCCTTAGTATAAAGACTGGCCCTCCACCCTCAACCCTGACTCTACGTTGAGCCGCATAAGGTAGTCCAAGAAGCCCATGAGCATCAGCAAATCGTAGAACAACATGCCGCATTAGTGGGAAGAAAATAAGCATTCGGTAGAGAACCCCCCCTGCTGCTGACTCGGACTCGAGCAAGCAAGTATGGTAAGCTTTCATCTCATTCTCCCCATTTGTGTTACGGAACGGCCCGCCGCTATGCTCGGCAGCATCCTTGTTACACCCCGTTCCTCTTCCTCATCCCCCTTCCCTTTCCTCTAGTCCTTCTCTCGGCTGTTAGCTCGCTCCCTCTCTTTTTGTTGCTGACGTATTTCAATAAATACAAATATGGCTCTTGGTACTGACCATCATAGGGGTCCATCAATAAGCAAGTTGCACGCTACGAAATCAGCGCTGTCTTCACTCATCCTGACGCCTCCGTCGATATCGTCCTGGTCCATGGTCTCAATGGTCACCCGAAAAGTACATGGACTTCCTCTTCGTCTTCGTCTCAACATAATGAAGGTGTGTTTTGGCCCACAGATCTACTACCGCAGTCTCTAGGAAAGACTCGCGCCAATATCTTGGTCTATGGCTACAACGCAGACGTCTATACCACCGGTAAAAGCACAAGTGCAAGCGACAACTTCATCTACCAACATGCTCAGACACTGGTCACAAACCTCACCCTCTATCGTAAAAGTGAGCGCACAGACAAGAACCCCATCATCTTTGTCGCACACAGCCTGGGCGGCATTCTTGTCAAGCGAGCCCTCATTTATTCCAATGACTTGAGAGACAAGAACCAAGAGGATGCCAGATCTATCTTCGTCTCCACCTTTGGAATCATTTTCCTGGGAACGCCACACACCGGATCTGACATGGCAACATGGGGTATCGTTTTGCAAAAGATGGCAGACGCCATTGCGCCCAAGAAAATGTTTGAGAGCGAGTCGGTGCTCCTCAAAACCTTGAAGAAGGACAACGAGACTCTGCAAAACATCAACAGCCACTTTCTCGACTTTTACCAGCGTTTCAAGATTCACATGGCCCATGAAAACCACAAAACGGATATCAGAGGAACGATGGTGACGGTGGTTGATGCGAGTTCGGCCAGTCCGCAACTTCCAGGCGTTGTTTACTACGGCATCGAGGCCCCTCATTCCGGAATGTGCAAGTTCAACAGCAGCAGCGCTCCTGGATACAGAAACGTTTCAACCGCTATTCGGACGTGGGCAGAAGAGGCTCCGCCAGTGATTCGAACCCGCTGGGACATTGAAATGGACGACAGGAAAGTCAGAGCACAATCCGAGGCAGCCGAGATCACCCGCGAGTATGGCAGTCCTCGAGAGACTATGATGTCAGGTATGCTCCCCTTTTCCGGAAAACCATACCATAATGGAAAGCCAATCATGAATCTTCAGTCTGACATATGCATCAAGAATACAGATATGTTCCAGCAGCTCAACAATCGTCACCTGTTGACACGACAAGCACCCGATCCGCTCCTGTTTCTGACTCTGCTACCCAGGTCCTGAACTTTGGTCCTCACTTTGTTCATCCCGACCGATTCCGACCCAACTCGTTTTTCAAAGGGCGAGAGGACTATCTTGCAGATCTTCACAAACTGTTGAAAGACCCGAAGAGGCGTTCAGAGGGGACATCTGCGGTTTTAATTCAGGGCATTCCTGGTGTCGGGAAAACACATCTTGCTCGACAGTATTACTTCAATCACAAGGACCAGTATTCCGGGGGCGCATACTGGATCAGGTCTACCACGTTACAAGATATGGAAGACGGGTTCTGGCGCATTGCAAAGACCCAGGCTATCAAGGGCATGGCTGCTCAAGGACAAAAGAAGGACTTGTTAAATCCACACAACATGGTCGATATCGTCAGACGGTGGTTCAATGAGTCAAGCGATTGGCTGCTAGTGTTTGATGGCATTCGCGTCAACGACAAAGCGATTCTCAAGTACATACCCGACCGGCCAAACAGCAGTCTCATCTACACATCAACTGATCGGTGTGATCCTGGGTCTCATCTTCTTGACAACCCCAGCATGATGAAGCTGCCTCTACCACCCATTCAAGACGCACAGGAGTTGTTGCTCGAAGAAATGGGAAAGAAACACCCATACAACACTGATGATCTCAGACGAGCTCATGAATTGGTACAGCTGATGGGTCGCCTCCCTTTGATGATTCACGCCGCTGCTGTGAACATGAATACCACGAGGGAACCGCTTGCAAAGTATCTCAAGACCTTCCGGGACTCGCCAAAAGTTGGCGAGCTTCCTGCATACATGGCGATTCGAGATCAGTTGCAGAGTCGCGGTAATTACGCCGCGTTGAATCTGATCTACATACTCTCCTTCTTCAGTCAATTCATACCGGTTGAACTACTGGCTCTTGGCTTGGGAGCTTTGGACAAGCGAACACCCGTGAAGACGGAAACGACAAAGGGCAGAAGGAGTCTGACACAGACTTTCGTTACTTTGATAAGCTTCGCCCTTATCGAACGAAACGAAGCTGATGACGTCTCTTCCTCGAGCTCGCAGAGCGGTCTCGACACGACTCCTGAGCCTTTGGATACACTTCGTGTTCACAGTGTTGTACAGGCCTTCTTTATTGAGCTTCTTGCCAAGGAAGGACAGCTGAATTTCTGGCTAGAGCGGGCCATCCGCGTCTTCTGCGCGTCGTTCGATGAGGCCTATACCAGAATGAACGACGAGCCTGCCACTGGTCTTCCCGAAGACTACAGACAATATATTCGACACGGCAGAAGGTTGAAGGACCTTATTGACCGCCATATCGTTGATCGCCCAATTCACGGGTCTATAGAACAACCCAGTTCGCAGTAAGTGGGAAAACCTCTTAAAGTCCCATCGCAGCCCCCGTTATGCTCCAATGTCCTGCTCAAGTCCTATGGCTGAATAAATGTCCAGTCTCTTTGCTGTCTTATTTCCATCACCCTCTTCTGTTCATTCGCTACAACTCTAGGAAAAGCTCGATGAAGCGTACTGACGTTCAGAAATAGAACCGGACCTGTGAATCTTGACGCTGCTCGAAAAGATTTAGAAGAACGACTTGCGAAGGTGCCTGCAGACCTTAACGACTTACAGAGGACTATATCTACCCGAATCATCGACGGAAAGGAGGCCGCCCATAATTCTGTTTTCGAGCGAATGAACAGTTTATCGTCGCATTCAACAGACGCCTCTGGTGCCGCAGTACTCCCTCAATCACCAGGGGTCTACTCGGCTGCGTTGGAGCAAGAATACAAATTGCCGCTGACAACCCATAACCCGCTTCACTTCCACATGCCTTATGTACCTTACGTGGATGAACAGGCATCTCCGGTTGAGTACCAGGAGTCCGAGGATCGAACCATAACTCCGTACCCGCCCGACATTGAAGAAGGTCCATACAATGACACGGCTGACCCTGCGTGGACTGTTGTGGCCAGACACCGGTCAGTGAAGAAAAAGTCACTGAGGCGCTACCATGATCGTGGAGGAGCATGGAGAGAGACAGCCGTAGCGACAAATGATCCTCGTGTGAGCATCAGTCGGGAGTCTGCAAGAGGCCTCATCACCCCACCTCAGTCTTCGAGAGGCGGCAGATCACCCAGTCGGTCCAAAGTTTCCGCAAGAAGCGAAGCTGAGGCCGAACTACTTTATATCAAGAAGGGATCGCCACCACCACCTCGTGGCGGTGGCTACATACACGACAAAGGCAGAAGCTCCAGTGCCGGTACATCTGTAAGGCCAACCTCGATGCTTGGAGCTTCAAGTTACGCCAAGGCCGTGTCAGGAACCGCAGTCGAGGAAGAGGCCCCCTCGTTTCCTACTTTCGCTTCTCCCCCTTCACGGGCCGCGACAATCGACAGGAAAGCTGCTTACGATGATCGGTCCGTCTACAGCCTACAGACCGTGAACAGCCGCACGCCTTCCACGGCTCTCAGGTTGAAAGAAAATCAATTTCCAAAGTTAACTGGTTCTGGAAATGCGTCTCAATCGACCGAACAGTCTCGCCAATCGCAGTTTCAAGAATCCACTTCGAAACCGTCTTTTCAAAAATTCCTGCGCCGCTTGGGCAGATCCGTCAGTGGGGGGAAGCGTCATGAAAAATCAGGCCCGGGAAAAGTTTCCTCTAGCGGTTCATCGATCTCGTCCATTCCGAGATCGTCGGAAGAACTCCCGTACACATATCAGGAGGATGTGAGAACAGCGAACTCCAGTCCGGGTCTGGCTTACTCACAACAATTTCCCTCCGGACTGTCTGTTGTTACAAACCAAGAGAGTAGTCTGCGACAGCATCCCCTCGATCGGCAGTCAAACTCCCAGCCACCGTACACATACCAGGATGAGTCTGACAATGATGTCCTTTCCCAGTCTGATCCATGTCTGAGCCGCCCAAGTCTGAACATTTTTCCCGCTGAGAATTTGGCATATCGGCCACCGCCGCGGCAGGTTCCATCTAGCACATATGAAGACAACTATCGGCCAGGAAGTCATATAGATCCTACGCCACCAAATGGGTATTCATCGCAGCCAATTTCTAGGAACCCAAGCTCAAACCCTCGACATGCGACAGCGACTGGCTCAGCAGGCACAGCTTTGAGCAGCAATAGCGGAAGTGTCAGGTCAAGTCTCCCTCATCGGCGAGCGCCGTCCATGGTAGAGACGGAGCCCTCACCGCGTCTTTCCCCAATAGAAATGGACCAGACTTCTTACGACATATGGAGGAATAGGCAGACAGGGCAGCCCATTGACGAGGCGCTATTTGGACGCAGCAATATGCCTCGCCGACTACCTGTCGGTCGTGTTCCCAGCTTCATACGGGAAAGTCCGACATTGAGCCCGCGGTCTCTCCCTGGCAACAGCGAACCAATGTCTAGATCCGGGTCCGGGGGTATCAGAACTACAGATGGACGGCTCATCTCGTTTGGCGATATTCCCGTAGACATTGAAGAAGCAGAACGGCGGCGCATTCAGGCAGAGAACGATCGACTGCAACGTCGGTATGAAGAGGCTGTGGAGCTTTCGCGACAAATCAGAACTGGCGAGGCAGACACAGAGTCTCCCTCAGAGTCAAGCCCCATAGGGCTGGGGCTACATATGCCTTAAGAGGGACCACAGCCAGATAACAAGCCTGACACAAGACGCCTCAGAAGGCGTCTGTGATGAAGAACAGAATCGGCAGATTGGATTTCTTGTTTGACTTCTGTCTTACTTGAAGGCTTGCGACAAAAGTGTTGTTTAGGGGAATTAAGAGGCTGGCGTTGAAACAGAACAGAACAGAACAAACCAGGTATTTTAGTCATTATATCCTTCTAAAGCGGCCGTGGAGGCCAAGCGTTTCTTTTGTTCAAAGGGAATTACAGGCAGAGTACGATTAAAAGAAAGATTATGGCGCCCAGATGCTTCATCTCTTCATGTGACTAGGAATTGGTGTTTTACAGCCCTGTTGACAAGAATACTTCTACAGCGTCTGGACCCTGCGGTCCAGAAATCATCCCAGGCCGTTCCACGGCCACAGCAAATCTCCGCTTTCTGGTCTCTAGTCCTTCGGCGCCAGCATGAGCACGTACTCCCGCGTACTATGCCCCAGCTTAATCATATCCTTATCCCTCAGCTCATAATACCGACTCTCGGCAACCTTGTCCCCATTCAGCACCGTCCCGTTGGCGCTCTCGAGATCGATCAGGTACGGCTTCACCTTGCCGATCCGGTCACCAAACTCGTTCCGCTTCTCCACGTGCCGGAACTGGATCACGGCGTGCTGCTTGCTGATGCTCGGGTGCTCCGCCGCGAAGTCCACCACGGCCGCCTCCCGCCCCATCAGCCAGCAGCTCCGCAGGTTCAGGTCCACCGTGTCGACCACGTCGTCCCCCTTGAAGACGAAGAGCTTCCACTGGTCGCGGGCGGGCGGCTTGCGCGCCTCGGCGGGTTCGTGGTATTTCAGCGCGATGGAGGTGCCGTCGGCTTGTTGAACCGAGTTGGAGGCCGCTGCGAGGAGACCTGTTGTGCGGAGGTTGGGTTTTTCTTTTGGTTTTTCGGGTTCTTCGCCTTTGGAGACGGCGAAGGAGGCGTCTTGGTCCGGGAGCGGTCCCGAGCGGCGGATGGGGCTTGTGGGTGCCGTGAGGCGTTTGCGCTCTGAAGGTTTGGAGTCGTCGTCTCCCGAGTCGGAGGTTGGGCTGCGGTCGCGGTGTCGGCGGCGACGGGAGTCTTTGTCTCTGCTGCTGCGGTCGTCGTCACGAGGGGATCGCCTCCGCCTGTGTCTGTCGCGATCGCCGCGATCGCGGTTTCGTGAGCGGGAGCGTTTCCGCGCGGAAGGGTCTGGTGAGCGCGAGCGGCGGGACGTCTCGTGCCTGTCGCGTGATCGTGATCTTCGTCGTTCTTTGCGTGTTGGTCTGTCCGAGCCGCGATCACGTTCGCGGTCGCGGTCGCGATGGGTGTCGCTGCGATCTTTGCTGCGTCTGCGGCGGTGGCTATCGCGATCTGTGGTGTCTCGTTCTCGGCGGGGCCGTTCGTCGTCGTCTTGGTCGTCGTGGCGGCTACGTCGCGACCGCTGGCCACGGTGCTCTTCGTCGGAGCCCATCTTTCGTGTTGATATTTATCTTGCACTTGGGGCGAGGATTGGAGCCGACGATCGTTAGGCAGTTGCGTTTTCCGCCAAAACTCGGCCCCTGTTTTCGCTGCACAACGACACTCTGTGCGAAGTTCGACGCTTCGAGCTGGAGCAATTGGCCGTGAGGAATTACGAATGCCTTCTCTGGAATTGCAAGCTCGACAATGTTGCTTTAGGCGGCCATGAAAAAGCCAGGAATTCCAACGTGAGCTCTGAGGTCATCCCGCAACGGACGTGCATTTTAGCGGCTAAAGGGTAATCCTGGCGCCCCCCCCCCCACACCCGCCGTAGTGCCCGTCCAGCCCGGCCCCACCCCGATCCCGTCTGCATCCCGCCCGGCCATCCTCGACCACCACCGTCGTCCTTGCATCCGCAGAATCACAAAAAAACCAGGAGAAGAACAACAAAACACCACAGATTACGCTCTCACATCACAGGAAGCACGCCTACCTGCCTCAACAGCAGCCAAGCCGCCAACAACACAATATTTTCAAATCCCTCCAAAACAAATAGAAATCACTTTAGACCGACAGTCAAAACCACAAAACGATTCGGGACTAGCCCCTTCGCGTGCTAAACCCGGCCATTTGAGGCCTCAAAGGTCGCACAGGGCTGCCTCCAACGAGTAGCGAACAAGAGGGTCTGTAAATTCGGTTTCACTGCCGCGCTCTCACGCCGCTACTTTGGAACCACTCGCCCAACTGTCAACGAGAACAGAATCGCGGGACGTTATACATAAGGGATAGGGCAGGGCAGGGCGGTCTCGTCAGTCATGGTTGTATGGTTCGGTTCCTGTGATGAGAAGGAAGGCAGGTGCTTTGGTGGGGACTGCTTGCCTCCTTCTCAGCCATTGGACCGCCGTGATTTCATCCGGACTTGGAGCACGTGAGGACACGAGAGAAGCGAGGAGTGACCTGGTGTGCTACATCATGATGGGAGACTAAGGCACTAGACATATTTACTGGTTGATGTTTCATCAGAGTGTTAGATACCCTGATTCTATACCTCTTTTGCGTTGCGCGAGTTGCGCCGGCTCATCTTTCAACACTTCAAATCGCCCCTTTTTCTACCTACTCTCTTCCTCGTACTCCTCGGATCATCATGCTAGGCTGAACTCGGTAATCTCTCCCATCTCGTTCTTCGCTTCCGCTCCAACCTTGTAAGAAATCCTCCACCGCAACTTGATAGATTGCACCTTGCGGTTCTTGTCCCCAGCATGCCATACTTCTACGAACTGGGTCACACCTCTGCTCTGCTTGGGAGCCAACTCTCGCCCAGTCTGGGGCCGGAGGCCAAGTTCGTAACCCTGGTTAATGTTAGCAAAATGACCTATCTGGAAAAGGCACGCGCAAGACTGACCTTTGTGGCGGCGAGCTGATAGTGAAGCTCTGAGATGGGCTGTGCAGAGTTGTTCGAGAAGGCGAAACTAAGGTTGATCGCATTGCCCGTCCCCGTCCTCCCTGCAATCATCTCAATCTTAACAGTAGAATCGCTAACAGTCGCCTTGTGCTCCTTAGGCTGACTGGGCGCTTCAGGAGGGAGGGCTGACGAAAAGGCCCATTCGTCGTCGTCGTTTGCGGCTGGCGCTGCTGGCGCGGGCGCGATGGCGGGGGCGGGAGCTGGGGTAGCAGGCTTGGAGGAGAAGATGGGGGATCCAAGGGCGGCAAAGGGGTCGTTTGAGGTCGTGGCCTGCTGCTGGGGCGGCTTAAAGGCAGACATACCAGACGGCTGGGGTGTGCCGGACTGGGATGCTGAAGGAGAGGTGAAAGAAGCGAACTGCGAGAAGGATGGTGGCTGGGGTGTTGCAGTGTTGCTCATAGGTCCCTTTGCGCTGTTGTTTTCTGTCACGGAAGAGAGTAGCGCCGGCCCTGGGATGTCTAATTTTGGTCAGTATGTGGATGCGTCAACAACAAAGACTCTGTTTGAACATACTCGAGTTTGCTCCGAATCCCAGAGTCAAAGCACCTCCTTGGCCGTAGCTTGCTGAATCGTCCATGGAAAGGCCGAGAAGATCGTTCTCAATGCCTGCTGACTGCGAGGCCGGCTGACTTGAAGATGAGCCATTCGTTGTCTCTGGTTCGCCATCAAAGTCGATCAAAGAAAGCTCTTGCGCTGCGCTCTTGGAAGGACCTGAAGTCGACGGCAGCGGCGCGCCACTGGCCACCTTCTTAGCTGCTTCAAGATCCCCCTTCTTCATGAACTTGTATCGCTCCACTGTCCGATGTATGCTGTCATTGATCTCCAGCAACTTCGCGACGGCCTCGTGGTCATCCGACTCCTCTTCACACATCTTCTGGATCTTGGGTTGCGCGCTGGACAGAGCGGCAGCAAGCTCAGAAAATACATCTCCATCCTGCATCGTGTCGCCCTGTTGGAAAGCTTCGAGTCTCTCTTCGAGCAACCTGGCCTTGGCTTGAATCTTGGCAACCTCCTGAGCGGCCTTGGCGCGGTAGTCGGTCTTGGACCGAGTATCATAGCCGGCCATAATCTTCATGAGACGGTTTGCCTCCTGGAGATCCTCGGGTGTGCCTCGTCGAATGAGCTCCTGGAGCTTAGCAGATTGCGCCTCGCGTTCCTCTTCTTCCATTTCCTCGGCGGATTTCAAGTTCTATGCACGTCAGTATAGCTCCAAAACGCTGCCAACGATAATCAAAAGCGCCTTACATCGCTGGGGTTGAGGACGGCGGCGTCATCCCGCCTGACCTCGGGGAACGTGTACCCCTTGTAGCTCAGAAGACGATGCATATCCCGAATGAAGCCCAAGTCCTCCTTGTACCTGCTCGTTTCGCATATCGTGCTTCTCCACTCCTCAATCGCCTCGAGGATCTTCATCTGGACCCTCGTCGCCCGTATCGGGGGTCGCTCGGGGAACCTTCTGACGAGCTCATTGAGAAACTCCTTTGTGCTGATCTGCAGGTGGAAAGGGTAGCCGCAGTTCTTGACGCAGATGTCGAGCAGATTGATCGCGAGGAGGGCGACGTTGGGGTTGCGATGGTTGATGTAGCTGACGATGGCGACAGCGGCCTCGCGTGGGGCGGAGCCCTTCTTGGAATTGATCAGATCGGAAATCTCGAGGTTCAGAGCGAGGTTCGGCTCGTAATTCTCGGGACTGCAGGCGGCCTGAATGAAGCGCTGGAGCTGGGACGGCGTGGGAGCGCCCATTTCGCCCCAGCGGTCTCGGGCCGCAGCTCTGGCTGATGCGGCCTCCATCGTCGTCGTTGCGGCTGTAGCGTTCGTGGGCGGCCTCGGGCGGGGAGGTAAGGGAGCTATCTTGGCGGGTTAGGGATCTCGTTGTTCGTCCAAATTTCTCAGGGTGAGAAGCGCATCCGAAGCCGATGGATGGGTTGGGTTGGCCGTGAAGAATTAACAGCCGGCCGAGCGAGCGCCTGCGAATTGGACAGATTGGATTAGGTCGGCGCAGGCATCCCTCATGAACCCTGTGATAGGTACCGATGGCATCTGTGGCCGAGTGACGAGGGGCTGCTGAGTGACAGGC